GGGGGGGGGGGTCCAAGCAGGAGGGAAGGGGCAGGTGGTGACATGACTTGGCAGGAACAGCAGGCCACACAGATTAATATTTCCACCCAGTCCATTTCTCTCTTTGCAAGTTAGAGCAACTAATTTTGCAAACTAGGGTCTCTCCCAGGTTACCGCCTGCTGCATCCTCCTGCAGGATCGAGGAGGTTGTTACCCCCCCCCCCAGNNNNCCCCCCCCCCAGGCCGGCCTCTGTTCGCCGACTCCCCTGCCTGGGCTGCAGTCTGGGGCCAGCCCAGGACCCCTCGGGCCGCATGTGCGGCCGAGGGCCACTTGTTTGCTTCCCTGGTCACAGGCAAAGCCTCGGGGGAAATCTCTGAGGCACGCAGGCACCCAGCCCCTCTGCAAAGCGGCTTTAACGGGGGACACCTGGGACTGCAGCCGTGAGAGGTTTTCTATTGTAGGCCCTGGGGGAACGAGGTAAATGTGATTAGGCCCCCGGAGCGCGTCTCTGCGGGTGCCACAGATGAGAGCGGTGACGACGTCATCTTTGTCACACAGAGTTCGGGCTGGCAAAGGAGTTGCACGCCTGCCGTGAGCTCTGCGGGGAGTTAATTCCAGCCGCGGTCAGGCAGTTGAGCCCGGAGGGACCCGAGGTGCAGGGTAGGGAGGAAGGCGAGAGCGTCCCTCGAGGGGAAAGGGGGACGGGAGTCCCAGGCTGCCTGCCCTTTCATCCAGACGATGTTCTCAGTCAGGGGGGATTTTGGCCCCCCCCAGGGGGCATTTCGGGTGTCGGAACACATTTCTGATTATCAGGACTTGGGGAGAGTGTGCTAATTTAGGCACCTAGTGTGCAGAGACTGGGGATGGGGCTGAACTTTGTCCAAGGCCCCGGACAGCACCCCCACAGTAAAGAATTAATTATTCAGACCAAAATGTCCATACATTTGCATCTGAAAACCCTGATCTGTTAGATTTCTAAACCGAACGAAGAGGGTTGGTGGGCTAGAGGGCCACCCAAGTGCCCAGAGAGCATGTGCATGAACTTCCACCCCAGCCCCAGGTCAAGAAGAGAGGCCGGCTGGCGGCCTGGCTGCCTCGGAGGCCTCTCTCAGGGACCCTCTCCTGCCCGTCTGCAGGTAAACACCATTTACAATCAGCACCAAGCACACTTTATTTTTCAAAATATGTTTCTATTGATTTCAGAGAGAGGAAGGGAGGGGGGAGAGAGAGAGAAACATCAATGATGAGAGTCATCGATCGGCTGCCTCCTGCAGGCCCCCCACAGGGGATCGAGCCTGCAACCCGGGCCTGTGCCCCAACCTGGAACCGAACCCTGACCTCCTGGGTCCTAGGTCGATGCTCAACCGCTGAGCCGCGCAGGCTGGGCTCAAACACACTTTAAAAGGGAAACGCAGGTGCAGCCTGTCTCAGGGCTCACCGGGAAGGATCAGGGCTCTCACGGCTTTGGAAATAACAGGCACAAAGCGTCGTGACATCTTTGTGGTTTTCAATCTATTTTTCAGCACGGTTTCATTTATTTCTCTCTTTCCTGCCAGATAACTTTGAAAAATGCATCCCTCGCGGCTCTACGAGGCCTCTAAGGGACCCCGGGGCTCTCCCTGTGACATGGGGCAGCCTCTGAACCAGGAGGTCACAGTTCAATCCGGGGTCAGGGCACAGGCCCAGGTTGTGGGCTCGACCCCCAGTCAGGGGCGTGCAGGAGGCAGCCGATCAATGACTCTCATCATTGATGTTTCTCTCTCTCTCCCTTCCTCTCTCTAAAGTCAATAAAATATATACATATTTTATTTATTTACAATATTTATATATATTTTTATAAAAATTTTTTTATATTTTTTTTTTTTTAAAGAAAAGAAACAAAGAATTGTCTGACGAAGCCCCCGCCTTAAAACCCGGTAATCAAGGCATCTCGTTGCCTAAGGAAGATGCCAGGCTCCCTCGGTCCAATTAGCCAGCACATCCTCAGAGCTCACAGGCAGCCTCTGAACTGCACGCTGCACACAGAGTAAACCCCCGGCGCGAACAAAATCCACCAGCATTTCTCCACTAGTCGGGTCACCGTCACCCCTCCCCTTTTCACCCACCAGTCTAACAGCGTCCGACTCATTGGATATAACCCTCAGCCCACGAGGGCAAAAAAAAATCTCTCGAGTGTCTTCCTGTGACCGAAGAAATGTCTCTGCCCCGAACGGAACGCCGATACCCCGGGGCCGGGTCCTACCTTCCTGTGGTTGGTGCCGAGGGGTGTTATGGTCAAAGCGACAGGGACAAGAGCAGGTGCGACACACAGCTCGTCCAGTCTCACTGATAAAAATCCAAAATTTTTTTAACAGAAAGGCAGAGTGTCCAATGGCCAAACATGTAAAATTACTAAAATAGGAGGCAGGCGAATAAACTAATAATGGGAATGTTTCAGAATCATCCTTTTTTTTTTTTTTTTTTTTTTTTTTTTTTTTTTTTTTTTTTTTGGGGG